GACAGTGGAACAAGAGTAGTTAGATTGTTTGGGATGCTGTTGCAGCAGTCCAGGCAGGAAATAAGTGTGTGAACAAGAATTAGGTTACTTAAATCAAGGGATAGCTTGGGCCGAGCCCGTGGCGCACTCGGGAGAGTACGGCGCTCCCGCCGCGGGTTCGGATCCTATATAGGGATGGCTGATGCGCTCACTGGCTGAGCGCGGTGCGGCCGGTCTCAAAAAGAAAAAAAAATCAAGGGATAGCTTGCTTGCTTTGGAATTTAAAACTGACAGTACATGGTGATTGGGTATGTGAGGTTGTAGAAGGTGAGGAGTGAAGGGTGAATCTCAGACTCATAATCTAGTGGATGAATAGATGGTGACATCCTTATCTATCTTTGAGAATTCAGGTGATGAAGGGGTTGGGATGAATAAGCTGATTAGGGTTTTGGGCATCTTGAACCTGATGGGCGTTATGTGGTGGTATGTGAAAACCTGATTATGTGAGAAGTCAGATGGTGGACTTGAGAATCATGAGCTTATATAGAAGTGTTTTTTGACCCTCACACTTCACATGTCTATATTGATATTGTGAGTTGCTTTTTTATAGGCTGAAGTTTGGATTTTAAGCAACACTTAACAAGTGAAGATTTTGAGGGTGTCATGGAGTTTTAGGGGTCTTGCTTCTGCCGCCGCCAATCAGTTACTACCCATGGTAGGATTGGGCCTTCTTTGTTAACAGATCTCAGTATAGGCCAGAAAGTTGAAGGCTATGAGAGATGTAAATTTTCCCTTGGATTAGGCCATGTTGAGGTTATTGATGAATTTTGCTAGAACAATGGAGTGGTGGGAGGAGCCAGGTTGCACTGGTTTTGAAGTGAGGGGGTAGTGAGGAAGAGGAAATACTTCTGGAATGAGGAGGAAAGATGAATGGTGCATAGCTAGGAGGGGGATGCTGCATTAAAGGAGTTTTAAACAACTTATTAGATATATTTAGAGACCTTGGGGAAAGCACATAGGGAGGGATTGAATTTTTAGAAGAGAGGGTTGTATGGAGGAGATAAAGCTCACTGGTGAGTTTTTAGGGAGAAATATTACTCAATTAGCTTCTCCAAGTATCTGTAGGTGAAGAGGGACTTGGAATAGGATTTGTTATTGAATCAGAGCACTCCTGTTTTCCATTATCTTAACTCGGGCAACCATCTTTTTTTTCTTTGAATTACTAATGTTAGCTTGCCTCAGTCTCTTCACAATAGCTGGAGCAATCTGGTCATGATAGTCTTAATAGATCTGGTGCCTAAAAGAAGTGTGAGAAGTGTTCAGTCCTGGACATTGAAAAGCCATTGGGAGTCGATTGGAAGGGGCAGGGTGGTGAATGGATTTGAAACCTTGGTGTGAGGAAGAGCTGTAGAATTTAGGGATGTTGGCCATGAGAAAGAGTCTGGTGAGACATGGTGACTATTTGTCAGTACAGAATGATTTTCACTTCAAAGAGTGCTTAAATGTGTCCTCCATTGGTAGAAACATTGGCTCGGTATAAGGAAGATACTAAAAATCTTCTAATAAGAAATATATGTATATTTAAAAATTGGCAAATAAACTGGCTATTTTAAATACAGTTTTTAGACCTCATTGTTAGAAAGATGGTGGTCTTTTTAGTCATGAAAACCTAGGTTTGAACCTTCGTTCTACTGGCTGTGACTCTGGGCAAGCTTTTAACCTCTCATTTCATTTATCTTGTCTGTTAGGTTGGTGGTGTTGTGCTGCTCAAGTGAGATTAAATTAGCTAATGCATATGTAAAATTCCCAGCTTCAGTTCTCAGTGGATGTTAATCTCACTTCTTAAGGAAAGAACCTGATTTTGCAAGAATCTGATGGGAAGCAGTTTCCCAAAGGTCCTTCAGCAATGTTTGGATCCCTCCTTTGTGTAGGCATGTTGTTTTTCAATCTAGTTGTTTAACCTGTCTTAAGGGGTTTGAACTAAATGACCTCTAAGCTCAAGAATAATTGGAAAAGAAACAAAGACCAACCCAATACTAATGAGTACTCCTAGCACCCAGATTGTAGTCTTACTGTATACTAAAGAGAAACAGCACTCCCTGAAGAAGTAGTTGATTCCAGATCTGAGGTAAGAAATAATACAAGATTAGCCTGGAACATTTTGACATACGAGATAGAAAAGAAGCTCTTAAAGACTATTAGGGTCATGTCAGAAGGACCCAGGAGCCAACCGGAAGAGTCTTCCACTGGTCAAAGATGAGGCAATTTGAACATGGTTAAGAATAATAGCAGTAAATAGAAATATATTAATAAAAAATAATTTGTTGCTGTTGCAGGATGCTAGTGAACCAAGTCATCATTTTGAAAACTAGTAAATAGAAAGAATCAAGGCTTTTCCCTTCCTTTCCTGTTTAAACTATACCATTGGATAACTATACCCGGTAGTATAAGAGGGATGTTTCATTTTGCAGAAATACTCCAGCTATTAAAGAAGGAATGATAGAATAGAATATAATCACTTTGCAACCTTAGTGAATTTAGGGATCCAAGCATTGATTATCAGTGACAGCCAGTATCACAAAAATAACCAGGCAATATGTTCCTCTTATTGGAATAATACGCCACCACTTATGAAGTATTGCCGTACTGACAGAACCCACATCTGATCAAACCTCTACACCCAGTCACCAGTTTATGTGAAATGCAGAGGCCAGGGAAACATGTTAAACTATATCACGGATAAAATCAGCAAAATCCAGACTTTTAAGGAAGTCCTTATCCTTTAGAGATAACATTCTAAAATGTTTACAGATGAAATGATAAGTCAAAGATTTCCTTCAAAATAATATCAAAGGAGGCTTGGATGGAGCATTGGAAGCAATAGGATTGGCCATGGATTGCTGGTTTTGAGGCTGAGTGGTGCATTAATGTATGGTCATAAAATTGTCCATAATAAGAAATTAAAAAGTTGAAAAGACAGGGCCGGCCCGTGGCTCACTCGGGAGAGTGCGGTGCTGATAACACCAAGGCCCCGGGTTCGGATCCCACATAGGGATGGCCGGTTCGCTCACTGGCTGAGCGTGGTGCTGACAACACCAAGTCAAGGGTTAAGATCCCCTTAAAAAAAAAAAAAAAGTTGAAAAGACAGATAAATTGAAAAATAGAAAACAAAACTCTACATTCTCATTTTACTTAATGTAATTTTTTAAGTATTACTTTCTATGTGTAAATACATTTTAAAAGTGTTTACTATGCATATACTATTTTTTCCAGCCATTTTTGAATAACATACAAGTAATTACTGTGCTTTACTTGGCCTTCACATTAATTTTTAATGTGTAATAATTTGGTAGTCATTCCCCTCTTTTTTTCTTTTGTGACTAATGCTTAGCAATTTGGGGCATATATATATATATATATATTTTTTCTTGTCTTTTTGTCTTTTTTCGTGCCCGGCAACGGATCGCAACCCTCAGTGTCGCGCCCGTACTGGACCGGAACCGGCAACGGGATCGCAACCCTCGGTGTTGCCCCCGCTCCTTGCTCAGCCAGCGAGCGGCCGGTCTGTATGTGGGATCCGAACCCTCGGCGGGAGCGCCGCCGCGCTTCCCAAGCGGCGCACTGTAGCAGTGCGCCACCAGGCCGGCCCTGGGGCATATATTTTAATGCTTCGATTGAATTTTCTTTTAAGCTGAACTACTGAATTAAAAAGTACCTTGGATGATAACTCCAAGGTCAGGGGTTTGGATCGCTGTACGGCCAGCCACCAAAACAAAAAAACAAACAAAAAAACAAAAGAGAAAAAAAAAAAAAAACACACCAAAGTTAGTACAAAAATGTACCTTGGTCCCTTTCACCATTTGTATCTGTTACATTATAGAACTCTGGGCAACCCCCAGATTATCAACTGCTCTTAATATTAGCCCTCTCACTTGCCGTTTGACACAGTGTTGCAGTAGGATCTTACTCTTGCCATTTTTTGGTGAGGTTTTTTTCCCCTCCATCTTTTTAAAAAATAAAAACATTTCAAAAATTAAACAAATTAGTTCCCTTTTCCCCAGTTCCTTTTCTTCGAGACCGCTTCTGTTATCAGCTTGGAGTATATTTTTAATTTTTTCTTCTTATCAGTAAATAAAAATTTTATTTTCTCCTCTTTGTACCTCATGGCATTTTCAAATTCTCTGCACTGATCATTAATTGATTTTTATTAATATATTTTGAAATATCACAGGCATATAAAAATTAAAATGTGATAAACATCCATGTCCTCATCACCAAGCTGAAAAAATAAATCATTGCAGGTACAATTAAAGCTCTCTTTATACTTTCCTTTCTTTTGCAGATATAACCTTATCTTGAATGTTGTATTTGTCAATTCCATGTTTGTTTTTATGCTTTTTGCTACATATTGTATGTGTCTGTAAATAGTATAAATGTATTCGCAGGTTTATACATTTTGTATAAAAGTTATCTTTATTATATATTTCTGTATTTTGCTTTTTTGTAGCATAGTTTATTAAATATTTTAGCTATTACCAAATAGCCAAGTAGCTGTTAAATAATTAGCTGTTACCAAATCATTTTTTGAAGTGGTTATTCCATTTATAGTCCTGCAAATAATTCTTGAGAGTTTGCATTGTTTTTCATTCTTACCAACAACTGGTATTGTCAAACTTAGTCATTTTTAGGAATCTAATGTGTGTAAGATGGTATCTCACTTTTTAAATCGTACATGACTTTTATAATTTGGAAAAAAATTACCCCTCCCTATCTCCCAAACTTCTCAGGGACATGCCATGATACCTTTTGAGTCAAGGAATTATCAAATGAACTGCTTTCTTCATGTGCTATGGCAGCAGCTTGTATTAAAGCTAAAATTGTTGATACCTTGAGATAATGGGATTTCTTTCTCTTCTTCTAAATAACAAAAGTGAAATTTTTTTACAGTGTATTATATAAAGAGTCCATAGTGTCAAAATATTTGTCACTTCATTTTAGATTCTTTGTCTTTCCTATTTTAGGCTCCGAGCTCTGTCCAGTGGTGGGAGTATTACGTCCCCTCCTCTTTCTCCAGCTTTGCCGAAGTATAAATTAGCAGATTATCGTTATGGCAGAGAAGAAATGTTAGCACTTTTCCTTAAAGACAACAAGGTAATAAAGCAGGAAAAGAGTTCGCAATTACGAATGAGACTTTGGGATATGTGGAGTGATGTATTGATATATGAAAAATAATATACTCTGCTAATGTATTAACCCATGCTTTTTCATTCCACCTTACTTTTTCCTGTTTTGAAACCTGCAGTAGTTAACTGAGGCTCTTCTAAGTATAACACACTGTATTTTTTAGAGAGGACCTAAGATTTTATTGTAGGAATTGGCAGCTTTATGGAAACTGGAGAATAGTCAGCACTTAATACCTTCTCTATCTAATTTCCTAACTTCCCTTTCATGTCTATTTCTATCCCAGTTTGATGGCTGAGAAATGGAGAATTTCTGCTTTCTTTTTATTGTACCTCTTATACTACTTTCCAGTTAGAAGTAAGGAGTGAGAGGAGGAGTAGTTTCTCCCGTTTTTTCCCTTTTTGAGTTAAGTATAAAATTTGTAGTGGAGAGAAAATCTTAAAATTTAACACCACATTTATGTCACTTATAAATGATCTAAACTGAAACAGTATAAATTAGACTTCTATTATACCTGATTAGTGAGAAATAATATTTTCTGTTTTTTTTCAATATACTTTGTTTTCAATTTTATTAATGGGTTGAGAATCTCACATTTTAGTGATAATTGCTAAGGACAGATGTAAGTGTTTATAAAACTCTCCTTATCACCTTCTGCTTTGAGTTAAATGTGGAGACTTTTACTCCTCCAGTAATGCATTCTGGAATACCAGACTTAGTGCTGAGTCCAAAATATAATGGTCTGATGGGAGGATGGGAGAGGGTGACTGGGGTTTTTAATATTTGACCCTATCAAAATATGTAAGTACCACAGGAGTTAATTATGGGTGAATAAGCTTTAATCTCTATTTATAATAATGAACAATAGTAAACAGAAGAGTGGGGTTTTTTTGTTTTGTTTTATTTTGTAATTAGGAGAATAGCATTAATCTCTTGGTCATGTGTTTGGTCATACAGATACCTTCAGACCTTCTGGATAAAGAATTTCTGCCTATCCTACAGGAGGAGCCCTTGCCGCCATTGGCTCTTGTACCCTTTACAGAAGAAGAACAGGTTTGTGCCTTAGGTCAAACAAACCCTTGTTCTTTCCACTAAGACATGAAAATAGGAAGCTACTACTTAAGCTCTAAGGATTAGCCTGAGTCCCCACAGGTGTGCTTCCTTCTTACTATTTCTTGGTATGAGGATGCCTTTTTATTTTTAATTTTTTAATTTTTTTTGTGGTTGGCTGGTATTGGGATCCAAACTCTTGACCTTGGTGTTACAACACCGTGCTCTAACCAACTGAGCTAACTGGCCAGCCCTAGGATGCCTTTTAGTTGACTAGATTTTGCTTTAGTTTCTGAAGCTGTTGAATATTATGTAGAGATAAGGAAACGTTTCTAGATCCTTAAGGACAGTGGGAACTATCCCTTATAATGTATTCAAGTACAGAGGAAGAGTTATTTTTGTGGAGAGGAGGGGAAAATCATCTTTGTTTTTCAGAAGTAATTGCCAACCTGAATTCTCACCAGTGCATTTTATCTTAAAGGAAAATATAGGTCTTTAGCTCAAAATGTGCTTGAAACTCTTTTGTCAATAGTTTGTGTGATGTTGTGAGAAAGTAAAATTTCTGGGCTGGGAAGTAACAAATTTTGTATTGTCCCTAATTTTAGTGCACTATTTCTTGTGCAAAAGTAAATAAAAGAGTTTGTGATTTCAAAGAACTTATGGTGATTATAGTGAAATGGAGAAACAAGAGTTTTGTTTTGGAATGCCACTTTAAATGAAGAATTATCATGACCTTTTAATTTTTTTTAAACAGCTTTTTTGAGACAATTAACATGCTATAAAATTCACCTTTTTGAGGTATACAATTAAGTGGTTTTTAGTATGTTCACTAAGTTATACAACCATCACCACCATCTAATTCTAGAACACTTTCATCATTAGTTTTTGTGACAACCATGGGTGTTTTCTCTACATTCTTGACATGTTTTACATGCGGAAGTCACTTTATTAAGAAAGAAAAGCTTATTAAAAACAGCCCTCTATTGGAACCGTTTTAAGATCTAAGAAAGGTATTAATCTTTGGTGATTTTCAGCACCATATGTTTATGAACTATTCTTGTTTATGGCTTCTTGTGAATCAAGCTAGTTCCATCTTTATTTATAAAACTCAATATTTTCGGGGGTCATCAAGCAGAATGGCCCTTGAAGATCCATTTTCATTGACCAAAAGGTGTTTATTGCTGTAAAGAGTACACAGGAAGGAAACGGTCCTGTCTACAGTGATTGCTGAAAAGTTCCTGCCAACTAATCAAATTGACATCTGACTATATTTTGGTTTAATTTGTCTTAAAAATATTTTTATTATGAAGTATTTCAGAAAGACAAGTATAGAGAACATTATTACAAACCATTTATACTGTTCAGATATGTCATATCTTAAAATTATGACATATCTGTTTGTCTTTTTTGTTTAAGAACTCAGATTTCTTATACAGTTGAAACTGCCTGGGATGTACCCTGTTCCTTCCTTCCCGTAGATTACTATGAGTTGGTTTATTTTTGTCATTCATATTTTTATATTTTCGTTACATATTTATATATCCAAAGGCTATAGAATAGTTCCTTTTTATAGGGTTATACATTTTGTATTGAAGATAACATACGTAGTTTTTATTCTGCAGCCCGCTTACTTTTTCTCTCAACAGTGAGTTTTAGATTTACCTATGTTGATACATGAAGCTCTAGTTCATTCATCTCTGCTGTATAGTATATTTCATAGTATGAGAAAACCTACAATTTTTTAATCTCTTATTAGATATTTAGGTTTTCAACTTTTGCTATTACAAACCAAGCTGCAGTGAGCATTCTTATAATGTGTATTGTAAAAGTGGAATCACTGGGTTTTGGTTGTTTGCATTTTTTAAAAACTTTATTGGGTATTGCCAATTCCTTTCTATAGTGTTTTAGACTGATTTGCACTCCAGTGTCTGAGATGTCTCATTTCTACACACCTCTCCAGCTCTTGGTTTTTAAATTTTGAACAAAGGGATAGTTATGATAGTTGTTTTTAATTTGCATTTTACTAGTTTTTAGTGACGTTGAACATCTTTTCATATGCTTGTGGGCCACTGTGGTCTTTTATTTGCCTGTGTCCTTTGCCCATTGTTCTCTTGTGGTGTTCGTCTTATTGATTTTATGATTTCTTCATATGTTCTTTAAATTAATAAAACATTATTATAAAAGTTACTCATATTCATTGTAGAAAATACAGAAAGTTATAAAGAAAAAAAATCTCACCTGTAAATTCACCATGCAGACTTAACACACTTTTATTGCACTGTATTTATATATCTTTAGTTGTCAATGCATACCAACACAGACTGAATCCAATAGCATATTAAAAGGACTATGCACCAGGACCCAGCTGGATTTATACCTGGAATACAAGGGTGGTTGAACCTAAGAAAATCAGTGTAATACACCATATTAATAGAACGAAGGAAAAAAGCCACCTAATTATGTCAATTGATGTAGAAAAAGCACTTGTCAGAATTCACCCTTTCATGTTAAGAGACTCAGCATGCTAAAAGCAGAAAGGAACTTCATTAGCTGATTAAGGGCATTTCTATAAAACCCAGAGCTAACATTATATACAGTGGTAGGAGACTGAAAGCTTTCCCCCTGAGATTAGGAACAAAACAAGGATGCCCACTTTCACCACTGCTGTCCGACATTGTATTAGAAGTTCTAGCCAGACCAGTGAGGTGACAAAAAGAAATTAAAAGCATCCAGATTGGAAGAGTAGAAGTAAAACTCTCTCTGTTGGCAGATGGCATGATACTATATATAGGAAGTCTAAAAACTCTGCAAAAAACTATTAGCATTAATAAATGAATTGAGCACAGTTGTAGGGTACAAGATCAGTGCACAAAACATTAATTGTAATTCTATACCCAATGATGAACAATCCACAAAGGAAGTTAAGAAAATAATTCCATTTACAGTATAATGAAAAAGAATAAAATAAGAATAAATTTAACCAAGGAGGTATAAGACTTTTACACTGAAAACCACAAGACACTGTTGAAAGAAATTAAAGAAGACCTAAATAAATGGAAAGACCTTCATGCTTAATGGATTGGAAGACTTGATATTGTTAAGATGGCAGTACTCCCCAAAGCAATCTTACAGAGTCCATGCAATCCCTATCAAAACCCCAATGGCCTTTTGGGCAGACATTGACAAACTGATCTTAAAATTCATGTGGAGTTACAAGGACTCTAAACAGTCAAAACAATTTTGAAAAATAACAGATGGAGGACTCACACTTCCCAATTCCAAAACTTACTACAAAGCTACAGTGATCAAAACATTGTGGCACAAAGACAGATATATAGATCAGTGGAATACAGTTGAAAGTTCAGAAGTAAACACAACTTGCTCTATACTGCTAGATTACTTTCAAGAAGGTATGAATGAGTTTCTCTCTTTTGTTTTACTGCCATCATAGCTATAGTATTTTACCATTATTTTTGCTATGTTCAGTATTTTATTATTTTATTTTATTTATATATTTTTTGAATAAGTAATAAATCAAATGGTTTAAAAGTGAAGATTTACAGAAGAGTCTATAATAGAAAATCTCCTTTCCATCCCTCTCCCAGCCACCTGTACCCTTTTCCCAAAGGCAGCCAGTGTTAGCAGTTTCTTGTATATTTTTCCAAGTAAATGTGTATGTGTTATTTCCCACCTCTTTATACAAATGTTGGTATACACTAAACTTTGTTCTGCTAATATCTGTTCTTCTAACATTGAGTATATTTATTGAAAGAATTCCCTGCAGATTTGGAAAAAAGTTTTCCCATTGTTTTAGTTCGTATTTCTTTGCCAATAGCAGCAAAGAGGTTTTTTAAATTTTTAAATTTTTTATTGTCCCCCCTCTTCCTTTTTTTTTTTTGGCAACTGGCTGGTACAGGGATCTGAATCCCTGACTTTGTTGTTACAAGACCACACACTAACCAGCTGAGCTAACTGGCCAGCTGGGCAGTGAAGAGTTTTTCAGATGTTTATTCATCATCTACATTTCTATGAATTATTTTCTTCTTGTCTTTGCCAATTTTTCTTTTGGGATTTTTTTTCTTGTTGATTTGTACTATTTTTATAAGCTCCTTATGTTTTAAGTTCAGTGGCCATAGTTGTGCCAGCTTTCTAAATTTTTAAATTGTATTTATAATTTTAAATACAGAAGTTAATTTTTATATAGCTCAGTATATAAGTTTTATTCTTTTATGATTATTCTTCTGATTATTTTTAGCTGTTTATACATATTTAAACAGTTTTTAAAAATTTTTCCTTAAATGATTTCCTAGGTTTCTTAGAGTGTAAATTGGCCAGAAAAGCTGTGTTGTAAATAGGGAGGATGACTTGCTACTAGTTACCAAAACATGATAGATTTTAATCAATAGAGTGAGTAATGGAATCATCTAGAAACATCCCATATCATTTCTAAGAAATTAATATGTAGTAAGTGGCTATATAAGTCATTTGGAAAAATCAAAGATTATTCAACAAGTGCTGCTTGGGAACTGGTGGTTAACAATTAACCAGTGATGGTTAGCAATTTGAAGAAGAATAAAATTAGGTATGCACTACACTTAAACACCAAAATTAGTTCTAGACTGACTAAAGGACTAGGTCTTAATTTTGTTTTTGTAACGGAATATTTGTTTTTTTTTTTTTTTTTGTCTTTTTCTGTGTCCGGCAACGGATTGCAACCCTCAGTGTCGCCCCCGTACCGGACCGGGACCGGCAACGGGATCGCAACCCTCGGTGTTGCCCCCGCGCCTCGCTCAGCCAGTGAGCGGGAACCGGTCCGTATGTGGGATCCGAACCCTCAGTGGGAGCGCAACCGCGCTTCCCAAGCGGCGCACTAGCGCAGTGCGCCACTGGGCCGGCCCCGGAATATTTGTTTTAAGGTCTGCATTTTATGATTACAGGGTCTTAATGTGAGGGTTGGCAAATTTTCACAGTAGCCACATATCATTGAGGTCCAAGTTTGGCGGCTGGCTGGTATGGGGATCAAAATCCTTGACCTTGGTGTTATAAGGCTGTGCTTAACCAATTGAGCTATATGGCCAGCCTGGGGTCCAGTTTTGGAAGCATTTAAAATGTATCATTTATAAAATATATTGAAGTAGGACAGTACTTAAAGCTGGCAAAGATTCATCAAAACTTTGATGTTTAGGCCACCCCTTCAGGGATTGTTTAGATCTTCCTAGACTAGTGTTTTATATACTTTTTCTTTCAGTACTCCTGTAGGGAGGTAAATACTTTTACTGACCTAAAGTAAGATTTTAACTGCGTATCTTAAGTTTCCTGAAGTTACCTGAAACTTCTATGTATGAAGGGTCTCCAGAGTCTTTTCTCATGGAAAGATGATGATGATTCTTATTTTGGCAGCTGACCAATACAGGAACTGAGCTTTAGATCTTGGTGTTATTAGCACCATGCTCTAACCAACTGAACTGACTGGCTAGCCCCCGTGTTATCTTTTAATTCTATTTTTCCACAAACTTTTTGAAGTGCTCTCATATGTGTGTATAAAATATAACGAGGAAAAATGTTTTCTTAGAACAAAACCAGTGCTCAAAGAAGATCTTCTAATTGTTCTTTTAGTTTGGCATTTCCCTCGAATATGTATCTCAGATTGAGAAGCATTATTCTATGCACTACACCTATAATTTAGGTAGCTGCTACAAAATTGGTATATTTTATTTATTTGACATCAAAGAAAATTATTTCACTTATGCATTCTGGAATAGATAGTGCATATACATATACATAAAATATTCAGGAAGCACATACAATGAAAAGCAAGTCTGCTGTTCACACAATCTCTGGTACCTATTACTCTTCCTCAGTAGTAACCACTGTTTCCATTTTTTTGCATGCCCTTCTAGGGTTGTTTAGGGCATCTACAACTATCTGTATATTCCTTTAACCAACCCTCTCCCCTGCTTCCCGCAGAATGGTAGCCTTTATTCATATAGTTCTACACTTTACTGTTTTTGCCTAAGCATCTATCTAGGAGATAATGGCAAATACTTATTTAGCTTTTAATGTGTGTCAGGCACTGTTCTTAGCAGTTCACATTTAATTGGTTGCCTGCCTACAACAACCCATGAGGAGGTGGAAATATCATCACCATCCGCATTATGTAGATGAGGAAAATGAGGCACAGAGAGAAGTCAAGTAAAGGAGCCAGAATTCAGTCCAGGCAGTCTGGTCTCTCCTTGCTCCTAACTACAACTATGTTCTATTGTCCTTGTATATTACATTGTATTTTACATTGGCCGTAGGAAATTGCAGTTTTTGTGGATCAGAAATGATTGAATGTTAAGTTAACAGTTTCATATATTTCAACTTAGGGCTGGTGGGGTTAGCTCAGTTGGTTAGAGTGCAGCCTCACAATACCAAGGTCATGGATTTGGATCCCCGTACTGGCCAGCCACACCCCCCCCAAAAAAGAAAAAAGTTTGTCCATATAGTTCAACTTAAAAAAATAGAGTTGCCTCATTTTTTAAACCACTGTATAGAATTCCATGTGTAGATGACCTTGATTTTCAAATTAGCCTCTGTTGGTTGATACTTAGTTGGTTTCCATATTTGCTTTTATAAACAGTGCTACAGTTAAAGATTTTTCTACTTGTTATTTTTCACATGTAAGAAGTGAAATTGTTGTGTCATAGTGTATGGAAATTTAAATATACTTTGGGCCGGCCCGGTGGCGCACTGGAGAGTGCGCCGCTTGGGAGTGTGGCGGCGCTCCCGCCGAAGGTTCGGATCCCATGTGGAGACCGGTTCCCGCTCACTGGTTGAGCGCGGTGCGGGCGCAACACAGAGGGTTGCGATCCCGTTGCCGGTCCCCGGTATGGGCGCAACACCGAGGGTTGCGATCCCGTTACTGGTCAGTAAAAAAGACAAAAAGGAAAAAAAAAAAAAAATAAATATACTTTGAGAAATTGCCTTCCAAAGAGATTTTACCAGTTTGCACTTTATGTAGCAGTGTGTTAGAGTCTCTGAAAATATATGAGAGTTTCCCCACACTTATGGATGGGTGCATTTGAGTTTTATACATGTGTATGTTGGTAATAAAATGTTCAACTACATGGGATCTTGGCATTCATAATGCACATGGCTCTAACCTCTGTATTTTCAAGGTTAGAGTGTATTAATGTAGATTTTGGGACTATATAAGTCTTCTTTAATTATGATAATGCCCAGAGGTTGCCCCAAGGTGTTATTCAATACTCCACTGGTTACTCTGTGCTAAAAGGTAAGCTGATATGTATGTTTCAACCAGTTTTCAATTTTTTAAAATAAGTTTTTAAAAATATAGCTTGAAGGGCCGGCCCGTGGCTCACTTGGGAGAGTGTGGTGCTGATAACACCAAGGTCACGGGTTCAGATCCCTATATAGGGGTGGCCGGTTGGCTCACTTGGAAGAGCATGGTGCTGACAACACCAAGTCAAGGGTTAAGATCCCCTTACCAGTCATCTTTTAAAAAAAATAAATAAAAAGAAAAAAAAAGTTTGAAATAGGTTTTTGAGTTGGGTGTCTTCTAATTTTTAGTTACCAAGTAATTACATCTTAAGTCTTCAGCTTTGTTTCTTTTTTTTTTTTTTTTTTGTGACCGGTAAGGGGATTGCAACCCTTGGCTTGGTGTCGCCCGCACCACACTCAGCCAGTGAGTGCAGCGGCCATCCCTATATAGGATCTGAACCTGTGGCGGGAGCGCCGCTGTGTTCCCAGCGCCGCACTCTCCCGAGTGAGCCATGGGGTCGGCCCCTTAAGTCTTCAGCTTTGAAGTTACTTGATTATATGGTTATATACCTATAAAACTCAAAGAGAACAACTTTATTTACATTGATAAAGTTTTTAAAATTTACCTGAACAAATCATATTGAATAAAATTCTGAAAAAGACAAACATGATAAGAAAATGACCCATATGTTAACGCAAGAAATTTAATAGTGAAAGTAGAAGTTTTTAGCTAATTACATGTTGACTTCTTCAAACGAAGCAGGTATAGACATCATACTTCAATTGATATAGAATCAAAATAGAAAATTGGTGGACACCACTTTGGATGAAAATGTTAGTTGAATTGCAGATTCTTTTTCACCCTAACTCTTAAGTCTCACTTCTTCACTTCTGCCAGGAGGAACCTTGGCTATAGCCATGCCCAAGGTGCATTTTCCTCCACACTTTTGTATAAATGTCTGTTGGGTTCCAAGTTTTCAGAAGGTATTCAAGTAAGGATATATCCCAATATTTTCCTAGTTTAAAATTCTCCTTCAAATGCTCAGGGTTTTTATATTTTATAGATCATTTTTCATGATTTTTATCATTACTTTTCCATTACTTTTTCCAAAGCCCCATATATTCCATTTATCCAGAAGTATCATAGACATATTTTTGGCTCTTGGCCTCCCTTCTTCCTGTATGGATGCACACCTACTACTGTTTCATTGTACTTGACCCTATTGTAGATTGGCTGTGGGTACAAGTGCAGATTAGTGATTAAGTGTTGGGAATTGATATTTTTTTCAAGCATTTCTTCCCCTTTCCATTAATGTATTATTTAGGTGGTTGATCTTACGGAGATTTTTACTTGGCCCTTCCCCATTCACTTCTGATTCCTGTCATTCTGTTATAATATTTGGAGTTGCTAATCCACATTGGTGAACAGAATGAGGATCTTTGTCATGCTACTGTTGATCAGACCATTTTGTGACTCCCTCTCATTTCTACCTTTCACTATAGGCTTAAAGGACCCTTTTTTTTTTTTTTTTTTTTGTCTTTTTTCGTGTCCAGCAATGGATTGCAACCCTCAGTGTCGCACCCGTACCGCACCGGGACCGGCAACGGGATCGCAACCCTCGGTGTTGCGCCCGCACCTCGCTCAGCCAGTGAGCGGGAACCGGTCTGTATGTGGGATCCGAACCCTCGGCGGGAGCGCCGCCGCACTCCCAAGCGGCGCACTGTAGCAGTGCGCCACCAGGCCAGCCCTTAAAGGACCCTTTTAAGCCAGATCACTTTTACAAAGTTTTCTCTATATATTCTGTTGCATATTTATCCTATGTGCTTCTGGTCACATACAGCATTTTATTTGTTTGCTTGTTTAATATTTCCTCACCAAACCTAGCATAGTGAAGGTATTGGTTGTTGGTTTTGTTGATCTGAAATATTAATTTGAAATTGTCAGGTAAAATCAGGTTTTGGATCATCTCCACATATTGTATAGTGGCAAGTAGATGCCATTTTATAGATGCACTGGGATGTGGGGAGAAGCAACATGTAGTTTTATCTTATCTGTTTTATCCATTTTTTCTTTTTTCTTTTTTTTTTTGGCAGAGAAACTTTTCCATGTCTGTAAATAGTGCTGCTGTCCTGAGATTGACAGGACGAGGAGGAGGAGGAACAGTGGTGGGGGCTCCTAGAGGTCGAAGTTCTTCAAGAGGGCGAGGTGAGCTTTCATGTGAAAAAAGTAATGGAGGAGGAGGATAAGGAAATCACCTTTAAATATTTTAATGCCTGATTTTTAAAAAAACCTGCCCTTTGACATTTACTGCATACTAAATGTCCACGTTTATTTTCTTAACCATTTCTCAAGGTATCTGCTGCATAACCCCTGATTTGTAGCAGAGGAGTGTAATTTTAACTGTAGAGATTTGAGTGTGAGGAAGTCTAGACGGTACCAGTTGACTTTGGCAGATCCTTGTTATCCAGGTTCCTTGTCCCCAGCGAGCCTTACACTTTGGGATCCAGAGCTTCCTAAAGTGTCTTGACTCCTGGAGCAGCATTGATATTCCTGCAGGCCTCCATGACACAGAGTTTCTGTACGAGGGCCATGTGCCAAGAGTGTCCTCAGCCAGAGAGAGGCTTTAGCAAAAAATGTCTCATACCAATACTAGGATCTTTTAGGGGGTGGAACAAGAAATAATTATGCAGCATTCTGTTTGTTTGACCTTTAGTTTTATGTCTTAGAAAAATAATTGTTATTTTGATATTACTTGTTTCTTTGATATCTGCTATTTTGGGTTTGCTGATTTTCTGCTATGTAAAGGTATTCTTGATGTTTGTCATATAAATATTTTCTTGAGCGTTAACTCTAAGTTGGTTAAATTATAGCGCTAGTCTAAACATACTTTGTAGTTTTCTCTAAGAGATGCTTTAGAAATGGAAGAATTTGGTGTCTGCAGCAATAGAAACCGTTATCTCCACATACACACCACCAAGATTGGCATGATCATGAGTGTGGAATATCTAAATTCTTTTAAGGTTGTGCCTTATGAATAATTTATATACATTCTTTATAGAAAATGTATTTAATTATACATTCCTGTGAAGAAGTTTCTTTCAGTAGTCCATTCAGAATGTGGGCAGAAATATGTTGTGAATAGTGAAGAGGCTAACTAAAATTCTTCACTTATTATGCTAGGTACTATTACCTAGTTACGGTTTTTCCTTCTGAATTTGTCTGTCTCTAGAATAGTGGTTTTTAATCTGAGGAATTGTTAGATTCATCTGTAAAACTTATAAGAAATATCTCTGCAACAGAATTTTGGGTGGTGATATCTAGGCGTGTGTGTGCTTCAAAAGCTCCACAGGCAATTCAGATTCACACCCCCAGTTAGGTTCCATTGATTCAGAATTTGTCTGAGATTCATGCATCTTGATGATGTGATAGTGTTTTGAAGATGAGACTGACCACTTATGGCTCTGTCCTGCTACTTGGGCATTTCCTGTTTTTTCTGCTTTCGGTTGGCAGTGAGTAGAGGTTGCACTCAGGCAGCTTTGCCTCCAGTGCTTTTCAGGGCCGGTCAGAGAGAGACCTTCTTCATCAAGAAGTAGGAACTACACCAACTTTGTGTGCTGCAAGTATCAACCAGTCTCTAAATAGGACTTTTTAAAATTTTAATTTTAAATTTAAATTAAAAAAAAAAGAAATATTGAGAAACAAGCTTATGATTGGTGGTGTTTTTTGGTTTCTTTAAATAATTATTGTGGCTTTTCTTTGCATGGGCACAGCTAATATTAGATTATTATCCTGGCTCTTTCCAACTTGAAACTTTGATATGAAAACGCTGATTTCAGACTTCTAAATATCATATCCTAGTAAAATTTAAACAAACAAATAAATGGATGAAGAAAACAACATAAATGTATTATCTTTCAATTTTATTTGGTGAGAATGTTTAAAAATAAAGCAAGTAACACACAACTGTCAACCACTGTCTTTATTATCATTAAAAGAAAGTATATTTTAATCCTCAAAAAGAATAGGGTAAAATCTCATTCCTTTAAATTTAGTTTTATGAAGGGTTCATCATATTACATTTACTTGCTTATTCCTATATGGGAATCACATTTATAGATGACTTAAATTTTGCAAGCCGGAAAGCTCTAGAATCTGATTCTTTTTATGTGCCCCATTATAAAACTTCAGTCTCATAAGGAGGACCAGTGTCAATACTAGTCATAAATGGCAGAAAATATTTTATATGTGTTTTGCTTGTTTTTTTTTGTAACCTGAAGACTTCTTTATATTCATGTATTTCTGAAATAAAACATTTTCTTCAAGTGATTTGAATGTAGTGGCTTTCCTGAGAAAATTGTTTTCTGAAAGGAGTAGGGACTTTTTTTCCCTTCATAAAACCATCATCAGAGGGGAACACCCCAGTGTTTTGTAGTGGTTTGCATTACATTATTTTAGGATCTTAAATAAAATGTATAAATTTCCTGATGTGGGGAGAGGTACTTAAGTTGTGAGTTGACTTTGTTGACTTAAAGTGAAGTTGACACAACCGGAAGGTAACTTTAAGATTATTACAGTTCATCCTTGGTCCTTACTTCCATTTTACAGATACTTGGACTCGTCAAGAGGGTATCCATTGTTCCTAAAATTACCCAATTACAATTCTATGCATTATTTTGGTATTTCATAATATGGTCATATAAAAGTATACTATTCTGAATCAGTTCTTCATAAATTATAACCAAGTAGTAGAAATACCTCATGGATATTTGAAATAATTATTTAACTGAATTATTTAGCTTTGGAATGCATTCATGCTTTTATTCAAGATCCATCATCATTTTTCTTTGAGTCATTTTGCATTATGGGAGAAGTTGAGGTAGGGATAATGGCCAGGATTTCATCTAGTTATAAATACATCCCCAGACCCCCATCCTCCTACAATTTTCCTTAATTGTCTGTTGGATACAACTGGGACACATTAGTTGGGAAAACTGTATAGAAAGCATAGAGCTGAAAGTGCATACTGCCTTCTGCTGTCAGACCCAGCAATTGGATGTATGGCCTTCCTGACCCTCACTGTGCAGCTGTATCATTTTATGTAAATGGAATAATCTCTATATGCATTGCTCTGTGGTATGCTTTTGTCATTCAACAGAATAATGTAGATTTCTGTTAATGTCAGTACTTTATCTTCTGTGGCTTCATGGTGTTCTACTGTATTGTTTTATCAGAATTTATTTAGCCAGGCCTTCATGGATTAGGTTGTTTGTGGTTTTTAAAATTGCAGTGAACATCTTCATACAAATGTATTTGCATACTTGTGCAGGTATTTCTATTAGGATAAATTGTATGTAGAATTGTTGAGTCAGATGTTGATAGGTCTAACCAAATTGCTTTCAGTAAAGGCCAGTTTACATTTGAACCACCACCAGAGCCTCTAAATTCCTGCATCCACATACTGTTACCAGCTCTGTGGTTCGAATTTAGTCCTTATACTTTTCTTACCTCGAGATTTGAGTAGGGGGCAAAAGGTGTGCTTAGTTTCTGTAGAATATCCTCTGAGTTCATGAAATTGATAGTTGACCCTATTGAGGTATCTTTTTTCTCTGGGATTAGAAAAAATATTTTATCATTTGTCCTTGGCTTTTTAATTTTAGCTTCTCCTCACCATCTAGTCTCTAAATCAAGATGTCTCCCATTTTTATTGAAGATAATCCGATAAGAGGTTTGATTTACAGTAATGCTTTATTGAACTTAGTAGAATTTCACTTATTATTAAATAAATTATTTAATTTATTTAATAAACTTACATTAAAGGTGCCTGGGACTGGGGATTTTTACATTAGGTTTTTAACTTGCTTCTTTAAACCTCCTGTGGTCTAGCCACTTAGTTCCATTATTGGTCTCACAGGTAAAGATACCTCAGGCCTTGCTGAATATTTAAATATAGATGTCTTGTTTATGTAGAGACAGGACTTCAGAGATTAATCTTTGGTGTCAAATGTATGGTATATGTTGACATGTGACTATCATTTTTTCTATTTTTCTTATTTTTAGGCAGAGGCAGAGGTGAATGTGGTTTCTACCAAAGAAGTTTTGATGAAGTAGAGGGTGTGTTTGGTCGAGGAGGTGGCAGGGAAATGCATAGATCGCAGAGCTGGGAGGAAAGGTAACTGAAGGATCCAGATCTTGGCATAAAGATTTCTTGGTATATAAAACTTACTTGTTTTCTGCTTTCTGCAGAGAAGCCTCTTTGTAGAGTTACATGGTTTCACTTTTTAAAAAATGCTTTTAATTATTTCATATTAAGTTGTATGTTAGAAATTTTTAAATTACCCTTATTTAAAGGAAGAAGTATTCTAGATAGATTACTATGTTAGTGCCAGCATAGATAGGTTATTTGATTTGCTATTTGATGAGCGTTCAGTGGGAAGCATTGCCATTTTATTGTTTGTTGGTATTAGTAAAAGCCTCTTCTCTATATATTGTTTGTGACTTTATATAAAGTTTGTCAAGATGAGTGAGGGCAGTTGTACAAAGATGTATGTGCAAGGATGGTTACTGTGATGATATTTATAATATAAAATAATTGGAAACAAGCCAAACAGATTAATATCACTCTTATATAATGTTATATTCACAGCACACAATAGATACCATATAACAAAGTTAAGGATGGTTTTGAAAATAATGATGTGGGGAAACACAAAAAGCAGTATATAAAACTGTGTATTGTGTATCTAATTAAAAAAAATGTGTTCTGGGTCAACAGAATCTAGTTTTTGGTAGGTGAGGTAGTGGATATTTTTGTTTTCATCTTTGTGCTTTTCTGTATTTTCCAAATGTTGGGCAATAATGTATTTGTTTTGTAATTTGAAAGGGAAAGGAGTGCTAATACTATTAAAGAAAAATAGCTATTAAAAAAAAGTGAGTATCATGGATGGGAAATGTATATATTATTTGCAAGCCTTGTTTGACTTCTTTTTTACCTTTTCTAGGGGTGACAGACGTTTTGAAAAACCAGGACGAAAAGATGTAGGTAAGATTCTGACTGAAAATATTTCCTGGACCTCGATGATACTAGTTTTTAGTTTTAAAATTTTTAAAAAAATTTTGGTGGCTGGCTGGTATGGGGATTGAACCCTGAATCTTGGTGTCATTAGCACCACCCTCTAACCAACTGAGCTAACTAGTAAGCCCCCATGATATTAGTTTTTAATGAGGCTCACACGTAAGGATAAATTTATTAAAAAATTGACTCAGTTACATGCACCTCTCCAGTAGATGGGGTTGTAGCATTGCTAGCGTTTAGAATTCCATGATTATTGAGGTCTCCATCGCGTGAAACCAGGGATGATGAATACAACCGTTAGGATTTATTTAACTTTTTAGAATTCTGTGTTCTCTGCAAGATGTGTATTCTTTATTAAGGCCATTTTGTGAACTGAAATTTCAAGTTAGAAACCAGTCTAATAACTCCTTTTCCAGTGTAGATAGCATTTCCAGGTGAGAATAGGGAAATGCTAGAATCTTTGCTTTTGTATCAGAGAGCAAAGTCTAAAACTATGGTTTTTTTTTTCTTTCTTTTTTTTTTGTGTTTGTTTTCTTTAAAGTCTAAAACTATGAATGTTCTTTCTTTAGTCATCTATTCATCTGGTCTTTTTGCTGTATAGTCTCATTTATTTATTTTTCTTATTTTGAGATGAGAGCAGTCAAATTATATAGTTACAGTATCCACTGAAGAGGAACATAATAAGGGAACAGGATTTCAGTGTTTATGATGAATTAATCATAGTTTATATTAAACAATTTATAATGCTAAGATGGGCTTTCTGACGGATTAGAGGTACTACTTTACAAACTACCAATAGGTATTAGTATCTAAGGGAAAAAAAAAGTGCTGATTCATAATACCATTGCAGTTATGAAAATAGCTCTACAAGTTCCAAATTCCTAAAAGTACCAGACAAGTTTTCCAGAGCATGATTATATCTGACAGTGGTAAACATTTCTCATACACATATGTTAAATATAGGAATATCATTCACAGACCGATTTTTTTTTTTTTTTTTTTTTTTTTTTTTTTTTTTT